TCATATAGTAAATCATTTTTCACCATATGTCAATTATACCAAAGAAATATGAACGTACATAGGACTTTTGGATGCAGCCCATTTCATCTTCTCACTTCAGATACTTGATTGCTACTCAGCCGCTCATAATCTAATTTACTATTAACAAACGAACCTGCGGTAAGCAGTGAGGGGTCTTGTAAATTGGCCTGTGAAGCATCTTCCTCTTTTACTTCAATTTTGCCAGAATCTGCGGAATCAAAATAAAGTTTATTTAAATTTGTAAACTACAAAAGATATTTGGTCTGCGATATTCATTAAGTGGAGTCTTCAACATGCAAATATTACCCTCAACTACGATGGTGAATTCACCGCCATTTACGTGCATTCAGGTAAAACTATAGCAAAGAAATAACAATTTGCAATAGTTAACAAAAGATCATACAAATTAGTCTCAGTTCATTTGAAACGAACATAAGCCGAGCAATAGAAAAATAATGCATAACATACTTCAAACACATCGCTATTAGGCGACTAAAATTATTGAGCTAAAATAATGCTAAAATGAGTAGACAACTCTCACATTAAGAGGAAAATTGGAGCTTGGCTCGCTGTTGTAAGGTCCACATTTAACATTTTTATAACTGATTAAACGTACCTGATGATGGCTGTAAAGACGATTCTGATTAATCTTCAGCCGATGAACTCATTTTCAGCAAGTCTACTTGACATAACATAACATAGTGATGTCGGCTCTGAAGTGTAGGCCTGATGTGGCCTGTCGCCGATTCTTTTCCATTTCGTGCCTTGTTCATAGAATCTAAACTCTGTCTCTTATACACATCTAGATGTGTATAAGAGACAGATGTATGCCGATGACACAAAAGTTTATAATACAGTGAAGNGCTCACGCCGAGCAGTGTGATGTCCCTGTTTCTGACAGTGACTTTAAGGTGTTAGCTTCCACCTCCGGGACTTCCGATTTGCGCATTCTAGAATCGCTGTATATCTTTAAAATTAGGCCCAGTTTGAATTCAGCTGCTAGCTCCTATCCCCTTGAAATTGTTAATAGATAATTTTTTTTGCTCCGTCTATTACTTGTAAATTTACGTTTTTAATTTTGTTCTGTGCTGTCAATATATTAATTTGTGACTTCTGATTTGTGATTCTAGATTCTAAGAACTGACGATGGAGCTGGTCACCGAAACGTTTTCTATAAAGATATGAATTTTTGTGGACTTTTCTTTGCTTTTAAATTCTTAGTTAATTTGCGATTTAAGCAAACAAGTGATATAAATTCATTAATCTTTATTAGTATTAACGAACTCATATAATCTGATAACGAACATGCGGTAAGTATACGAACCTGCGGTAAGCAGTGAGGGGTCTTGTAAATTGGCCTGTGAAGCATCTTCCTCCTTCACTTCAATTTTGCCAGAATCTGCGGAATCAAGTAAAGTTTATTGCAACTGTAAAATACAAAAGATATTTGGTCTTCGATATTCATCAAGTGGAGTCTTCAACATGAAAATATTACCCGCAAGTTCAATGGTGAATTCACCGTCATTTATGTGTATTCAGGTAGAACTAAAGCAAAGAAACAACAATTTGCAATATATAACGATGAAAGATCATACAAATGAACCTAAGCTAAGCAACATAAAAAATCATTTTTCTTAGAACAGTTCTGTTTTAGAGAGGGCATTGAGACTGCCATGTTCTCAGGTTAAATCCGACGTTCATGAAATTCCGATACAATATTTATAAAGATATAAGTTTTAAAAAGTTTTCTTTTATAACACAAATGTTCATGCTTATGGAATTTAAAATTAGGCTAATTAACAGGGTTTTGTCCTTCGGATTCATATCCTGATGCGGCTGATGGAGCAATATTTGAGCCGTGCATTTGAATGATTCGGCTTTTTTATTGAGGGATGAATACCGAGTCATTAACAAGCCTTATAATAGAGATTTATGAGGGTTTTAGTTCTCCATGGTTGGTTTAAATATGACAGGAAAATATGGCCGCTACCAGTATTATAATCTAACAGTATTATAGTAATTATAATAATAAATCTACCAGTAATTTTTAACTATGACTATTGTTATGGTAATTTCAGGGTGAAGCTGAGAGACAACCAATGTTTTCTTCACTGGAATGTTTATTTTTACCACTGAAGCCTGATCGAGCTGAAGGCACAAAGCTAGAGACCGACGCTGTATAGAGGCGGGAGACCTGAGCTACTATATATATATAGGCTTGGGCAAGAAACTTAAAAGTTGCCGTAGTAACTAGCTGCTCGAAATAAATGCTACAAATAAATTGTACTTTTATTTCAACACTTTTTTACTGGTTACATGTGCGATTCCACTAGATTTAAGCTGTGCATAAATTTTTCCCGTTGTGTTGTGAGATAATTTTTCTTTGGTATATTTTGATTCTACCAACTTTCCTTTCCTATCTTTCATGTTGTGATAGGACGAGCTGCTACTTGTTATTGGCGAAATTCATTGCCGACTAAAGTAATGGTCATGACTTTCAAATCGCACCAGCAGCGTCTTTCTGCCTCTTTTTACCAAGAATTTTTCTAAATTGGTTAGACCACCAGAACTGTCGCCAAGTGATATTTTTAGTCTTGATTCCAGTAGTATGTTATGCAGTCAAAATAATAATGCCTTTAAATCTTCTCTATGTAAACATAAGCATTCTTGTAGTTTGACTGCGTTAGAAACATACTGTAACTGCACCTCCATAAAGTAAATTTTCTGGTCCTGGACTCTTTTTATATTTTTTCCACTTTTTAGGCCTTTTTATCCTCTCGGAAACTATGGTTGTGACTTACTTGGCGATGTCAAAGAGTTTTAATCATTGAATGCAGCATATTACGTCAATTTAAAGTTAATGTTGAGATTAATTTGCAAACTGTTGAGACCATTCAAGCAACGATTAATTCTGCCAGCATTTTTTTCCAGCGAAATCTCCGGCGTAGGTTCCAAAGTTCACGTATGTAGGCAATGAGTTATTTTTCATAATCCTTGCTTCCATGATGTGATTTTATTCTGCAGAATTTATTACCTGGTCATCACATAGAAGACTGCAACAATCAGGAGCCACATCCATAATAACGTACCTAATCCGTTTATCTCGATCAGTAACGATAACAGCAGCGGAACTGTTCATTGCAGGCAATAAACTAACCGTCCAATAAAAAGAAAATTCATGCGATCCTGTATCACACAGCGGATTGATTACAGTGCCATAATAAATGCTGGCTCTCCTTCAAGGCGGGAGATCATATCAAGGGACGGTGTCAGAAATCTCAGAATAAATAAATTAGAATAAATAGCAGAATGGACCTGTGTAATAATACATGCATGTTTGTTTGTCCATCTAATATTGAGAGTATTTGTGGTCTTTCTTCGATTTAAATTGCGCCTGCATAGGATTTCCCTCACTTGTATGTAATACTTGGGAACCAAGGCATTTTTTCCTGTTGCATTGTAAACTTGATATGATCATTAACAGAAACGCAATGATGTGTATACTGAACTATCAACTGTATTGGATAATCTCTAAATCCCAGCAAAAAATCTAACATTTTTTTGTAGCTGGCAAGTTTAAACTTGTAAATCTATAATCACGGAAGCTCATCATTGGGAAAGTCGTCTTAATTAAACAGCTCTCATTTATGATTCAGAATATAAAGGTTATTATAGGAATAATCCTGGAAATCAAACAAAGTTCTTTCAATCGATTTATTAGTTTGCATTAGGGTAATAAATCAGAGAAGTCAGAGGAAAGATTCTACAAACAGGGCGTTATTAAAAAATCAATCATTATATTAAAAGTATTGAATAATAACTTGTATAAACTTGGATATGTAATAATAGCTGATATAAAAGCTCCTTATATTGACCGTCGTCAACAACGTTAATCTTATTAACAACGCACTTTTTATATCTACGTGGGTAACAATATATGCGAGATATTGACTGATAATTTTGTTTGTTTTTAAATAAAAATATTTTAAACTTGCTCATAGAAATATCGAAGCCATTTTCAACAATATTTGAACACCAGAAAATAGTTCATCAATGCCTTTTTTATTGAAACAGTATTTATTAGAAAGAAAAATTCTGTACTATAACGTAGATTAATTCTGGAAAGATGGTTTTCCTTTTGAAAAATCGAATTAAAAATTATTTAGAGAAATTTTGTGCTCGGCTCCTTATTACATACACTACATATATGTAAACAAATCCTTTCAGGGTCATGTAATATTACTAATTTTTCATTTTTTAGCTTAATTTTTAGCAAAGTTTGCTTGAAATATCAACCAATCTATGGGTAGAATTTCATCAAAATTTGTGATGATCAGATGAGACACCTCCGATATACCTGACCCTTTCGCATCATAACGTTTGATGCAAGCAATGTTTCCATCAAATACATCTACTTTTTTAGAACGTTAGCATCATAAATCAAACGAATTCATAAGATTTGTATCAGAAAAACGTGGTTAATAGAACACAAAGCAGGCAGTTACCCATTCATGACATTACCCGCTTAAACCTGATTGACCAGCTCAAAAATGAGCAGCAAACCAGCGCTAACCTCACTCGGTTAGGGTTAAGACGTTAGGTTAGGGTTAGGACGTCAGGTTATGGTTAGGACGTTAGGTTATGGTTAGGACGGGTTTCCCACTAAGGTGAGTTCAAGAAAGAAAGTTTACTTCCGTTCTACAATTTGCACCACATTGTTAATCATGAACGGCAAGAACTACATTGTTCATACGTCACACATTTGTGACCCAGGGGCCGGACTATCAAAACTTCGTAACTTTTTGTACTTACGACAAAAAAGTTCTGTGGTACGTAAATACACCCTAATTTTGGCTTTATCAAAACTTTCGTACGCAAGTCTTAGCTAAAAGCCTAAATTTTTTTCCCGCGCAAATTTTTCCCGCGTAAATGTTTTTATAATACCACTGCTAGTATTACGTTGTCATAGCAACGCCACTCGTAAGTCAATTTTGGGTACTTACGAAGTTTTGATAATACGGCCCCAGGTTGATAAATTCGACTTCTTCACTTAACACCTCACCATCACCCATTCATGTTTAATGAATGTTGAGACATTTGTTGTCATAAGAGCAATCACTCATTGGAACAAATCATGTAATACACTAGCACGAAATTATAACCTGAACTTTAGGTATCACGGCACCAATCAATTTTCACGTCTATACTAAAGGAAAAACAGCATGTGGGGCCAATCTTCACTAGGAGTTGGGTAGGCACTGGCCGTACGGGAAGCGTGGGCTGGATTTCCGGTAAAAACCGACTTCACAAGTCTGCAATAGAAAAACAAATAAATTAATTATAGTTTTTTTTTCGAAGAGTCGCTATACCGTATTTTGCATATATTTTTTTACGTAGTGGATGGGTTGTTAATGACAGTTAAGGTCTGATTCTTAATTCGTCATTATGCTACCGCAAGAAATCTGAGTCAATATTAAACATGTTTAAAAGAACCACTCAAATACAGTGTTTTGAAAGTTTCGTTCAAAGAAAAAGGCTAAAATCTCTCATTCAATATATATATTGTTATTCACGTTACCATTTACTATCACAGAAAGATTTCGTTCTCCTTAACTTTAATAGTCAAGTAAAGATAACTATTTCTGGATATCTGCACCTTCACAATAGAATTTAGTCTTAATTCTCTTGACTGCTGTTTGCAATGAGCCAAGAAGCTCAGCCAAGCGCAACTAAACCTTCACCTTTTTTCTCTCAAGAGCTTATTACCTTGCAAATTGTCCCGCTTGCCCTTTAAACCTTGTCCTTTTCCATCTGATACGTGCTGATTTTCTGATATATGAGCAACCACAAATGGAAAATGTACGTATCGTCCCGAAATACTTCCCCCAACAACTCCATAGACTTATGTAATTGGTATTTGCTATTTCCTGGAACTTCGGTTTTCAGATTCTCTGGATTGTTTGACTTGAGATCCTCACCATAAAATAGGGTGACGTTTTTTCAATTGGAGGAAAATTTTCAGGAATCAATTTTTCCTGCATATATGTTATATTCTTTGTGAATTCATGGAAACTCCTCGAATATTTATGAACATCCGTAGATATTCTTTAAATTTCGATAAAATTCATGGAAACTTCTGTAATTCAACTATTCGTGGGTCGCATTTCTCTGTCAAGGAGGAAGTTGGGTGAGCACGATTGGTTGCTGAACGAATATTCACTAATAAGCTTCACCTTCTCCAGTTGCTTTGACTGAAGGACAACAAATTTTTGCCATCATTAAACCTGGGGCACTAAGCTCCAATTTCAGATATGGCTCCATAATGTTAATTCGTAGAACTCTTAGCACGTTGACTGGAAACGTAATTACATTTCGGGTTAGTGCTGGGTCATCTAGATGCTCTTAATGGATTCCTATGCTGAATAATATTGAAGGCAATGGCATCGGCAGCTGCGAGATACGGGAAATGCCATTGGATTTCGCACATGCTTTAAGCTGAGTTTGGCTGACGCTGCAGCGTCACGGAAGTTTCTTTCATTGTTGTGACTGGAGCTGGACCTAAATTTGTAAAAACCTGCATCAATTAAGTACCCAGGCATTCAATGCCGGCTATTTGCTTAAAGTTGTATACAAAAATTTCTCTAACAACTACGTTAGATTCCACAGTACATCTTCTTCGAAGAACTTTGGAATTACGTGAAATTTTATGGTACAATGCGTGTAAGCCTACTCTGAAAAGTAACTGCTTGGCCTGCAGTCAGCTGCTACAGCCCTCAATTAATCCGTCTGGGAGAGAATAGATTTATTAATCGCGACGTCCTTCACGCCTCGCATGTCTTATTGTGGATGCCGTGCCGGCTGAAATAGGCGTCCTGCTGCCACCTATCTAGCAGTGTGCGACAACGGTGTGTTCGTCATCACTGGAAGTAAGCCGTTGCTACGGCGGGAGTAATTTGCACTGAACTCTACGTCTGCGAAGGCTGCTGTTGAGCATCGGCCTGTGTCAACCCGTAGGCATTAAAACCTGTTATCGTGTCTTCGGTTATCGTTCGGCTGCCTCAAAACCTGTTCGCTGAATGAGAAGGTTGACGAGTTTCTTCACATCTGTAACTCGCACTCTCTAGATGTCTTCTTTGACCGAGACCAGGCGCGACGCTGACTCGGTTTGCATCGCTCGTCTTCGCGTTGAAGGACTTCAGGTAGTCGAGCGCACGCGGATCCGAATGCAACTCAATATCTTAACCCGATAATTACGATGGGGTAGCTACCGTTGCCAACATGGGTGTGGACCTTAACATGCTTAACACCGGCGCCCGACCTTTGCGCTGCTATATGTGCCAAAGTCACTTGCGTTTGTTTACGCGCTTTGCAGTAACCATCTATCGTCCCAGATCGGTTGCTGTGACGCGCGAATTTTTCATCGAATTGAGCGATATCTTCACCAGACTTGTGACCTTCACCGATCATGTACTTATCACCTGCGATTTAAACGTTTGACTGGATCGCGTCAACGGCCCATCGGCGCGTCAACAAAACGGCCTGCTGTCCACCGTCGGCATGGTTTGTCACGTGACTTTGCCAACGATCGACGTGGGCGGACTGCTGGACGTTGTCATCACGCGTGCTGATCATCAAAGTCTGCCAGTTGACCTCATCGAGATCGCAATATCCGACCATCGATTACTTCAGTGAATGGTCATATGCTTCGGGTGAGGTACGCGTGGAAGAATTCCATGCAGTTTTTGAAAACAAAATTTCTGTTGTGCGAGCGTCGTCAGTCGATTCTCCGTGGGCAACAGTTACGTCGTGTCCGTACGACTGCGTGCTCCAAGAATTCACTTGCTTCACAGCTGACGATATCATCGCTGTAGTGCACGTGCTGCCTAACAAGCAGTGTCCCAGTGATGCGCTACTGCCGTCGTTACTTAAGGCTAATGTTGAAACCCTAGCACTTTGTCTGGTCGAACTTTTCAACCGCTGCATCACTGACGGTGTTGTTCCAGAAACTTCAAATCAGCTTTTAGTGCGCTCTTATTCAAAAAAGCAGATATTGACGCTTCTGATCCCAAATCATATCTGCCCATTTCCAACCTGTAAATTTTGTCGAAACTACTGGAACGCGTTGTGGCCCGATTGCAGATCTTCAGCAGTCCGGCCTCATGTCTCGCCTTCAGTCTGCCAGCTGTCATCTCCACTCGACGGAAACCGCCGTTCAGAAGGCACTTTCATATACTCTGCAAGCAGTAGACGGCGGCGACATTGCGGCAACTCGACCTGTCGGCTGCATTTGACACGGTCGACCACGCCACTTTATTGCGTGGGCTTGACGTATCATCATTCGGCCTGCACGCCACAATGCTGCGGTGAGTTGAGTCTTAACTCAGCAATAGAGTCCAATGCGTTCGACGCGGGCACTCTTCTTGTACGCACTCTTCTGCCAGCTCTGGACTCCGTTCACACTAGGCGCAATACGGCAACTGGAAGGAGTCCAACGAACCTTTACTTCCAGGATCAGAGGGATGGAGAATTTTAACTACTGGGGGAGGTTACAGCGACTGAGTCTGTACTCACTGAAGAGGAGACGGGAGAGGTATGTCATTCTGTACACATGGAAAATGATAACCGGAATGGTGCCAAACTTCGAGAGCGAGACCTTCAAGATTCAGACATATCACAACGAGAGAAGGGGGAGACTGTGCAAGATCCCTCTCCCCTGCGTAACAGATCCGCAGTCAGATTTCAATCCCTGCGAGAAGGATCACTCTCCGTGGCATGACCAAGGCTGTTCAACGCCCTACCAAGGGATCTAAGAGAGGGGGAATTCACCCTGGAGACCTTCAAGAGACAGCTAGACGTGTTCCGGAGCACAATTCCAGATCGACCTCCCCTGCAACACTACCAGCGGCGAGAAGCAAGCAACAGCATCGTGCATCAAGTGGCCCAAATGAGGGCGGATGAACGATAATCAGAGGCGGCGATCCATCGTGGCCTGGGACTGCTATGTCCCAAACAAATACTAAGGATACTAAGTTGCTAGTCACTTGCAGCGTACCACAAGGGTCTTTCCTCGCTCCGATCCTCTTCCTGTTATATACTTTCGACGTGTTGCATTTTTTCTATTCAAATAGTTTGAATAGCATATGATCGCCGACGGCTCTGAAATCTATGGCTACTGTGTGCCGGCTGACGCTGCGACGTTGCAGGACCAGATGTCTCTCTGCACAGACGCCGTCTCGGACTGGGTGCATTCCTACCGGTTTCAGCTCAATGCATCAAAAACCGATCTTATTTTTTTACGACTGTTCGGCGCCAGCATCAGCTTCTGGCCAACCTGTTCACGTGGGAAACGAGTTCGTCACTCCTGCATCTTTAGTTCGCAACCCCGGCATTGAGCTGGACACCGAACTTTCTTTGAATAACCATATTGCTATGGTCACAACCGCTTGTTTTGGCGCTCAGCCGTTGTCTCGCGAGTCTGGTCCTAGAGGACCTCGTGGTGGGCTCATTCCGACCAGATTGGATCATGGCAATGAAACTCTATGAACTTTCGACCACGGTACTTACTAAACTGCTTCTCGTAATGAACGCTGCTGCACGAATCGTGTACGATAAACAAAAATTCGACCACGTGACGCTGATATTACGCGATATTCACTGACTGCGCATGCAGTTCATGGTCACTATTCTGACGTTCCGATGCCTTTACGATTTGGTACCTCCTTATCTTGCAGAAGGTCTGCGGCGCGTGTCGGATCTGCCTTCTAGAAGACGACTGCGTTCGTCATCATTAGCAGACCTCCTGGTACCGTCTACAGCCTACACGTTCATCTACCGCCCATCACAGAGCGTTCCCGGTCCCAGCCAGCAATACCTAAACTCTCTGGCGGTTTCCTAACCATCGGCTTCATCGTCGCCGATGTTTTGTTGCCTAAAGACGGAACTATTCCGTATAGCCAATGAATCTTGTGTTTAGTCATTTTTATCCTTTCTCACCCTTCCTTGTGCCTTTGTATTTTTCGCTTGCTATTAAACTTGTGTGTAAAGTGCTTTCGCAATTTGTTTGCCACGATAATCGTCGGATGCCACGATAATCGCTTCATAAAATTATAATAATTAAGAATTGAGTATCAACGAGGGATTCAATGTGAAAATAATTTAAATGTAACATGGAAACACAAATTCTGAAATACTGACCTCGCACGAAGATCCGGTGTAACCTCTTGGACACTGGCACTCCTCGACGCTCGACACCCGCTCTATCACCCCGCTGGCGGGGTCCAGTCGGCCTGCTGTGTCTAGCATAAACCGAGACGCCGGAGCCAATCCCGTGCCGGAAGAGTGTGGTACTGCCCTAGAACAGGTTATGCATCGCCATTGAAAGCCTGGGACTGCGAGATTGACCCATTCGGTACAGGTTCTATTCCCGCTATGACTATAAAATTTAGACCCGGGAACAGAACTATACATCGTAATTCTTAGGGCAAACGTGCAGCAAAGCAGGAATGTCAGAGTCAGAAACGATGTCGCCATCTGCACGCCTGCTCAAGCGGTCTATGCAGCCGTTTCTCATCGAACTTTCATTCTAATATTCCAACAAATGAGCGCACATTAAATCCAGACAAATCAGAAATCCTTTTCATTTGAATACATGAGCATGATAAGTCAACAATGACGAATTTTTCCGTGAAATCTTTCCCATGAAACTGGTTTGCTTACCAACGTCAAGCTTATTACTAGATTCTAGTAGATTCTTTAACGGTTACAATCAACTACTTATATGCATGACGCGCGATTTTACCTGATGAGGAATCTGGTGGTGTTTTGGAGGACGACCATCATGTGTTGCCTGGTGGCAGTGATGCGTTTTTCGGCGGCCAGATACCATTCGTTCGGGTCCAGGGGCACGGACCGGTTCTGTCGCACGGCTTGCCCGTAGCCATACGTGGCGTAGTACACTAAAGTTACGTTGTTGCCCTGTGAAATTTGAAAAAAAATTATAAACTGCAAGTTGGAAAATTTGAACTATGTCACTGTAAAATAATCATAGACACCTCGGTAAGAAAATGTCTAGTTTTCTAACTAGAGCATAAACTGGATACACAGACATTTGTCTAAGTCAAAGTGTCAAAGTTGAGTTTGCCCCAGGTAATACTTGTAAGGGAATTTCATTCACGATCTCCAAATCACTGTGGATTAAATCATGATTACAAACTCAATTGAAGCAGGAAGTCGTAATAAGACATGGATTTCTAAACATTTGTTTCATTTAAGGTCAGCTTTAGAAAAATCCTCCCAATCAACAAAAATTTATTTCAGCGTTTTGGAAATAGACATCCGCTAGACACAGACATGGAATTTACAGCCTAAAAATTAATTATCTTTGTCACCGAGATGACGGCGTCAGGGTAAGAGAAGGGCAGAGTGGGAGCAGCGGAGAGCGTCTGGTAGTGCAAGCGGCTGCCGTAGGAGTTGAGGAGGTTGCCCAGGTACATTGAAGGCAGGCTGAAGTAATATGCGGATGCCATGGAGCTTTCCACCACAGTCGGCTGCGAGTGAGGATACTTCAATTAAATTCATTGACGCAAATTCCTATCAACACTGAAAGTTGAAGATAATGTGGCTTGTTTTTTGTACATTATTTACAAGTTTTCAGGTTTTACATTTTCACACTTGCCATTGCACGTCATTCGTATTTTCATTTATTTTTTATTATATTTTTGGTAGTATTTATTTATTTTATTATTATTATATAGATTTTTATTTTGTTTATTATGTTGTTATTTTTATTTGTTCATTTATTTTTTTCTAACTATATTTTTACATTTTAATTACATGGTCGCAAGACCAGCGCGGGAATGGAAAGATATGACGGAGATCAATGATATGCGCTGTTGATGAAGCAATAAGTGGAGACGGGAGAGTTGCTCGTGACTTTAAGGTGCATGTTGTTTGGTTTGTAGTATCCCGAGCGGAGCTGGGATAACGCTGAGCGGTAGGGGCGAGGGAGTGAGGCCTCCACTGAAGCAATCGGCGTTGGCGGGGCAGCAAGTACGGCGTTTATGGCGTCAGTCGCCGCCACGCGGGAGGTAATCTCCCTGCGGAGAGGCCGCTTGGCTTCTCCGTATGTCACGGCAGGCAAGATACCATTTGCCAGGAGTGGTGTGACAAGATGGCCGAACCTCGACTGTATCGAGGCTTTCATAGGGCGGTCACCGAGAGGGGCAGAAACCATGTGAAAAGAGGCATGGGAGGGCTGGAGGGCGCTGGCGAGGAACTGGGCGCAAACCAGGTCCAGGTGCGCGGACACGTTGAGGGAGTCGCTCTCAGTACGTCTTAGCGGCAAGGTGAGAGTCAAATTTTGGGTCGCCGCACCCAAACGCGATGGCTTGCAACTGTCATAGCGCAACTAGCTTCTGAATAACCATAAAACGAATGCAATGGACAGCCACAAGACCAAATCATCCGGGAAGAACTGGTACGGAACACCAAAATGCTACGTCACAAACCGGACTTAAACAGCCTTCATATAATGAATGGCTTCATTGTAATTCTTCTGAACAATTCACGCCTATACAAGAAATCAACTGGATCTCAGCACACTTAATTGAAACATAACACCTAAACATTGACCTTCACTCAAACCAGCGATTAATGTCTCTTTCCTGCAATTGTGTCTCTTTCCTACAGCCACTTTGAAAGTACTTTTTCCACTGAGTATAGCTTTTGTTTAACATTTTCTTATGCTCAGTGATGCCTGGCAATGCTTAATGATTTCTGATAATGCTCAGTCATAACTAATGATGCTAAGTGATGCCTGTAGATGCTCAATCACGCTAATGATACTCAGTGATGCCTGACGGTGCTCATTATTTGATTATATTATGTGATTATATGTCTCCTGATTAAGCTGAGTGATGAGCAAAACACGTTATTTGATTTTTCCAACCTATCCTTTGAAGAAGTATTAAAATCTCTTGTTTGCTTAAATTGCAAGTTAACCAGCAATTTTAAAAGCAGAGGCAAAGCCAAAAAAAATTACCATATCTTTATAAGAGAAAACGTTTCGGAGTCCAGCTCCTTCGTCAGTTCATAATGCAAAGTTCAGTCCAAGAGACCAAAATACAATTAATTAGTAAAGTAAAATCCACTGTCAGATTTTAAAACGGAAACAAGCAAATGAGACATGAACTGAATGCTAGTAAACGGGTCTATATATCTATTTACTATTTCAAGAGGAAAGGAGCTAAAAGCGGCATTCAGGCTAGGCTTCTGTTTGAACATGTACAGGGATTCTAAAATTTGTAGATCAGTAACACCGGACTTGGATGCTAGAACTTTGAAATCACTATCAGGTACAGAGGTGTTGCACTGCTCGGCATGAACACGTAGAGCAGAGTGAGGAGGATTTGCAAGTAGGTTCCCCGTTCTATAACTCCTGTCTTTATGCTCAGCCAGCATAGTATAGAAATTGCGTGACGTCATACCCACTTACGTTAATGCACACTGAGCACAACTATATCTGTAAACTAGTAACGATCGCATAAGAACAGGAAAAGTGTCCTTATAACTGAAAAACGAGCCGATTCTAAAATTGTTAACCAACAACATATGAGGATTTACATCCGAAAGGTATTGAGCGAATAAAACTTTGAACTCCTTTGATATAGGCTCAGATGCGGGGCCAAATTAGGCAGGTAAAAGAACAGTAAACAACGTTCCTATTGTCACTTGGGAATAACTTCAGTATATTGATTGGACATAAACTTTTTAATTTGGGTAAATACCATTGTGTTTTTTTGGGCCAAACCCATTGTGTTTCCTTCACTGTTCTACCCTTCCTCGTTTATGGCTCGACTGTTCAAACCTCAAATCACGACGCTTTAACCAGGGATTCATGATATATATCATTTTAATTTATTCATTACAAGTANATTAACACCACAGCCTGAAGGTTGAAAAGGTTGAACGTTCAATTTAGAGTTTAAATTTTGAGCTTCCTAGTACCGTGCTTTGCTTTTGAACATTTGGGAAGCTGATTGTAGACCAACTTTCTAAGCTTTCCGTAAAGCCCACGGTGACGCTGTGTTTCAAATGGACTGCCAACGTATCAATAGAAAGGAAAAGATTTTTGTACCTGTAATTGAAGCCTGTTATATTACCAGATGAATTAGGTATTAAAACATATAACTCAGTACTCACTGCACTGATTGACAGAGAGCATTTTCTCGTCGACGAAAACGTGAAGTCACGGACAGACAGACGGACATGACGAGCACAATAGCGCCTTTTTTTGCACAAATGAGAAAATGCGCCAAAAATGGGAAGTGTTTTCGTTGTGGTAAAATATGGATTACGAATCGCTTCGCCAGGAATTCAACACCATTTGACACTATATTGACTAAAAGGAATGTCATTAGGTTTGTTGACAAATTTTCAAGTAGCAATGTGTGTAACGAAGCTCATTTTGTTACAGACAGCGCACTTAATGCTACATTATTGACGGACTTTTGTACTAACAATGCCAAGTGAGTTATCAATTAAATTCAGTTCGTCAATCATTATATCTTTTTTGATTCATGCTCTTTTACAGCGTATGGTGCAGCATGGAAGTCATTCAAGTACAAACTTTGAGGCCTTTTGCTCACTATTATTTACCCGGCATTAAGAGGCCGCAGTTGGCCTCATCACTGGCATCTCCACAGTCGTTGTCGAGATCACAACGCCACATCAGTAGAATGCAGCGCCCATTGTTGCACTGAAACTCGTGCGGTTCACAGCGATCTGAGGAGGTGGTGCAGCCATTTAATCAATACTTCCTTAAAGTAGGTCTTAACGAAAGAATCTCTAAAATATAAGCTTATTCGTACCAAGCGACAGTAAAGCTTAAAATGGTTTTAAAAAATTAAAATATTTTCGGATAATTTCTCGCCATCAAAATCGTGATAATTCATTCAACTTATTTGAAATTCCACTATTAGCAGCTGTGCAATCCTACACTATATAAAGTGGCGCTACGGTACTTCAATTATGCTCATGAAATGGTAAGTTTAATGCAAATCAAAGCTGGACTACCACCACTCACGGTTGCAGAAAAGCTCGTCTGAGGCGTCAGGGCAATCTCTTATACCGTTGCAGCGCGCAGCGCGAGCGATGCAGTGCTGGTCGTCACACTTCCATTGGTCGCCAAAGCAAGCTGAATAACAAACAATGAAGCACTCCAATATCTGTTCAATTTTATTATGGATACTCGTTAAATAACCAAACTAAGCGTCCAATCATTTTGAAGCTTAGATCTTTCACTTACGTATTACGTGATCATTACTTGTAGGCAAAATTGGTAATAGGACACTGTACTGACTAAAATAAAATTTGTTACTGTCTATACGCAGTACATTGATAATACGTAAAACGATTAAGTACACTTTTTATTCTTGCTCATCCAGGGTCAACCTAATAGCTAGGTAATTATTTATAAATTCAAATTCCAGTGAGAAATCACTCCCAGCAGTATCATACTTTTGCAGTCTTTTTCATCTGAGCCGTCGTGGCAGTTGGGCACACCGTTGCAGCGCGCGTGTTCTGGGATGCACACGCGGTTGTCTGCACACAGCCACGTGTGGGCAGGGCAGTACGGTACAGCTGGAGCTGGGCAACATGGACGAGTGTCAGTGAAACAGAGTTTAAGGGAAGCGACTTTCCTAAATTTTATCTCAGTAATTTACAGAGGGATCAATTTGAAATTTGGTACACATGTGTAAACCCTAAAAATACTCAAGTTTTATTTGTGTCAATTTTTTGAAAAAAATTGAAAGAAAACGTGAAAATCTTAGAAAACGGCTAAAAAGGGGTACTTTAGAAAACCTATCTCCTCCTAGGATTTTCAAGCTACAACATCGCGACACATATCATTCGATGCGCAAAGACCATATCTACAAACTGGTCGTATGGGTTTTTTGCATTTCTCATTTTTGTGGGTGTGGAAGCATTTTGTCCAAAATTTTTCGAAATTTTCGATTTTACCTCCACTTTCCCCCCCTTTTTGCAAAATAAAATCCGAACTTGGAAAAAAGCCCAAGACCAGTTTGTAGATCTTTTCTTTGCAAATCGAACGGTGTATGTCTCAACGGTATAGCTTCAAAACTCTAGGAGGAGATAGGTTTTCCGTGACAATAAGTGTGAATGTTGAGGAGAGCGCGACTAAGTCCCGCGCGCACCACAATATGCGCTCAATGTAGCATTTTATTTTCTCCTTTTTAGTCCGTTGCTGCACGGACTAAAAAGCATGACTTGACGTGCGTATCGATGATACGCAGCGTCAGCGCCTGCTCGTCTATAACGTGAGCGCCCGCACGTCATACTATATATATACCATATATATACTTTACTCAATTAAACTAATTTAGGCCTCTAATTACTAGTTTTTATGATTGTATCTGAAATTGTTAGGCGAAAATAGCCTGCATGCCGAATTTCAGATCTCTAGAACAATCAGAAGTGGGCTAATTTTCGTTGTCAATGTTAACAACAAACAAACAAACAAACAAATAAACAAACAAACAAACGCGAAGCTAAGCTAAGAAAAACGTTTTAAAAAGTGAAAATTTTCAATTTTAGGGTAGACGCTCCCCTTAAGGCTGGGAATATGTATCAACTGAGAAAGTTTTTCGGTGTAATACGATTTAAGATAATTGAACATTTCTGTTCAGAATATGAACAAGTGTATTTTCAAGCTAGCCCGGGGGTGTAAAAATAGCAAGAATTAAACATCGCATTGGAGCGTTTTCAGTCACGCTTCACTTTTCTTTCTCTTCTTCATAGTATCTAAGAGGTAAATTGAAATATTTATTTAGTGTTTAACAGTCTTCGGCTGTTGAACAAAATCTAGGCTATTGAAAACATCCAAATATTCACAAATACTTGTCATCTCTATAGACGTTTAATTTAAACTCTCTTTGGCTCTAAAATGAATTTCCAGAAATTAGGTAAGTCGAATTTTGATTTTTTTTTGCGATAAAGTAATGGGAAGAAAATATTAATCCTCGACATCATTACGAGCAGCTCGGAATAGGAAGGTATTCTCGCTAAGCCTTTAGGTCGGGAACTCGCATTGATGGCTTTTCGTCGCGAATCGCCATAATTGGGTAACATAATATCCATAAATAAATGAGAAAAGTTGCAAGCCATGTTAATTTTAGAATTATTTTCATCGTTTTAGCGAATTATAACAACAAGTTACTCGGGAATTACCAGGGTCGGGAGTTGTGGTCGGGGCTGTGCAGTTGGCTTCATCGCTGGCGTCCCAGCAGTTGGCGCGACCATTGCACCGCAGCTCTGAAGGGATGCAAAGTCCGTCGGCGCATCGCCACTCCGAGTCCAAGCAACTTTGTCCTGCTAGCGAGTGTAGCAAATTAAAACTGTTTTATAATTAGTATGAGAAATTTCAAAATTTACAGCCAAATTCGCATGTTTTCGGCATAGTGGACGTATCCCAAACTATGAGAAAATGTCAACTATGCTATTTGTATTAAGAGAAAAATGCAGGGGCGCATGTTCACCGAACTCACATCACCTCTCACCATGACCGAATATAGCGCGGAAATAATGTTTAGTTTGATGTCAATCTTTAGATTAGTGATAAGCAATATCAAAACATGACCTAAGGCATTACCAGGGCTGCTGTCATTCAATGGCGTCCAGTAGATAAACCAGTTGATGGAAGAGGTTATAGGATCGTATCGTCTTCCAGTGGGTTAGGTTTTACGCAATTGTTTATGGAGGACTGTGTTTAATGTAGGAATTATGTTGTGTTGTACTTGTACCTCGTCGACGTTGTACCTCGTCGCTCGTAGGTAGCATAGAGGCTGAATGGTGGCCAGGCAAGTCATTATGGGGAAGTTTGTGTTTACATGGAGTGAGGGATCTTGATGATTCGGATGCATGTTGTTCACTCTGTGAGGGAGATTGCAAGTGGAGGTGGCTGGGAGGAGGTTAACCTGTACTATTTTGTGTTAGAGTCTGGTATGCCAAACCTTGTCGCAGGCTTTGATCACGTCTTTGTACTAGGTGTTCTCCCAGTGTCCCAGCTATAGCTTCTATAGGTTACTTAAATCATCCAGTCTTGTGTTGTGAGTGATGTGAATGGTTAGTTGTCCATACAATCTGTTGTTTGAAATAATATCTAAAACCTTCCGGTGTATAACTAATAGTTTATTATCCCTTTGTGACGATTTCTCATGCATTGCTGAGGGTTCTGTTTTCAAAATACTGTGCACTCTCGACAAGAGCGAATTATAAGACTAGATCATACGACTTCTGAACTGGATATATTTGTACTTATATTATCAGTGTGCTTATATCGCAAGCTCACAAGGAATTTAAAAGCAAAGAAAACACCAAGCAAATTCACCATATATGCAAATTCACCATATCGATATTGAACGTTTCGGAGCTGGACTCCGAAACGTTTTCAATATCGATATGGTGAATTTGCTTAGTGTTTTCTATGCTTTTAAATTCCTTGTGGGTATATCTGAAATTAATACAAATTAATTATAATAATGAAATACTATATCCACGCAATTAACACTAACCACACAACCTACGCTACCATAGTTCAACGACGACCATAGTTCTCAACGACGACGTTTTCGTGTTCAACACCAGATTAACATCATCAAACTGCGAACAATTAAAATTAACCTTACCCGACGAACTCGTATTAACGTTTGGCATAGTGACGAACTGATAAATATGGAAGGAAACTTTCTTTCGCTATATAATGATAATGACGATGGTGTAAATATTCACTGGGATGGTAGTAACAGAGAAACGAAAAAGATAATGTGTCGTCTATGTGACACTAGTTTTTAGTGACACGCTCTCACAGCTGATCCTGCTGAGTCCAGTGAGGTATATGGACAGAGATCATTGAGAGCACTGGAGAATGAAATCACGGTTCACAAGCCACAGGATGACATGTGAATAACTTGTGTTCACCAGTGCTGTTGTTATTTAGGGAACAATTTTTGCTGTTCCTTTTGCGCTGTTATTAATAAGGGAACAGTTATTGCGCTGTTGTTATTAAGGGAAGAAGCGACTTGACTGGCAGTACTCACGACCAGGGCAGTTGGCCTCGTCGCTGCCATCATAACAATTTGGTGCGCCGTTGCACCAGAGCTCTGAAGGGATACAGAGTCCATCACGACATTGCGACTCTCCAGGCCCGCAACCTGTGCCTGCAATTGCAAAAATATTGACTTGACTAGAGCTGAAATATTATGAAGATCATTAAAATTTATTTTTCGCATTGATCCGAAAATTGCTTGAATAATTAATTTCATACAAACGCGTCTATGTTATACCAACATTGAACTCCCTTATTCCAGAGATTTTCTAAGCTAAAAAAGTTATTTCATATCAAGTTTAATTTAGTTAGCATATTTTTGACTTGGTACACTACTGTGAGAAAAATCGTCTGCAATTTGAGACAAATCTTCGGGTAAATGATACAATGAGTTCAAGTTCCGTCTAGGGTTCTGGCAATCCATGGGGCACTGTAAGCGACCTGGTCCGGTTTGCAGGTTACTGGGACAAATAATCTTTTTATTACTGATGGAAATGAGTTAGTTATGGAATATAACTTAGGCAAAACGTGTGCTAGCTTTAAGTGCCTAGCATTGCTACCGCAATGCTCTCTAGTTGTGCTGGAAGCGTTGTGAAGAGACGGTTTACTCTAATGAATGCAAGTTTGTGTGATTTATTCTCCGTGCCGATAGTTGATGTTTCCCTGAGTCCTGGTTACGCCTGGAAACTCAGGAAAGGGTTTCCGGGCGGTGGCAGGAAAGCCATCACCCGAGCCGGCTCGCATCGAAGCTGGGCGACGGATGTTATGCCGACCCGGAGCCTGGATGCTACCAGTTCCAGGCGATCCAGCAAATGATGCTCGACGGTGTGGGGGTGTGCATGGAATTGGGGGCATAGGTCTGAGTGAATTCTTTCCAGGCGGTGTTTATAGGAGTATAGGGAGGAATGGTGACCACAGCGGAGTCTGCTGAGGTGCACCCTGTCTGTACGGTGCACCCTCTCTGCACGGTTCAACTGCGGCTCTGTATGGCTGCCGTCTGGCGGTTTGTCATCTATGATATTGTTGTTTTGTGGATTCCAGAACGCGTACGGGCTAGATATGTTTGTATTTATTTGGAGAAGTTGGCTGGGTCTCTGGGCGGGGGTAAGGAGTTAAGTAATGTGAGATAGTAGTTGTATGCATTATTAGCCTGGGTCATACACATATTACATGCATATTAGCCTGCCTGAGTGTAGGGGGTAAATGCTGAATCGCGATGACAGGGTCTGTGGGGGTTGTAGTGTTGATGAAAGGAATTGGGTACCTTTCGTACCTAAGTGTTCTTTCAGAAGGAGGACTTTGGTTTCTGCGTGGACGTGGCTGGATGGTGTGGTTTGGGTGCTGTCAAGTGCGATTCTGAGTGCTGAATTTTGTATGGTTTGTAGGTGGTTGCGGAGTGTGGGTGAAATAATGGGTGTCAAGGCTGGACTGGCATAATCAACTACTGAGCGTAAATATTGTTTGTACACTAGTGTGAGGGTTTCTGTGTTCTGTCTGAATGTTGTTCCTGTGATGGCTATAAGTGTGTTTAGCCTGGGTCTTCAATTGTTTTAGTGATCTGTATGTGTGGCCCGAAAGACACGAAAGTATTGTAAGTGACACCTAAAATCTTACTTTCATGTGTGTGTGGTATGATGGTGTTGTTTAATGTGAGTGTTGTTCTGTGTTGATGCTCCTTTGTGTGGATTATTAGTAGTGTACTTGTTGATTTAGTGGAAGCTACTTTGTGTAAAGTAGCCTCCAGCACTGTAAACTATTACTTTACTTTGTATAAAGTAAATTTAGTTGGGCCCTCTATTTGTGTAATGTAAGGTTGTACTTGTGTGGAGCATGTGTTTGCATTGGTGTGTGTTGATGTTACTGTAATGTCGTCTGCATAGGATGAAATTTGAATGTTGACTAGTGGGGCTGGAATGTCATGCATGCGTAACCGGAAACACCGCCGCGAAGTCGAAATAGTAACGGATAGCGTGCCAACTTGACGGTGACTTGCGTATTGGTTTTAACACAGGGGCTAAAGAGTCGCTCTTTGGTCCGGCTCTAAATTCCCTTGTGTTGGAGAGAGGAGGAATGAACACGATGACCTTTTCTTAATATATTGATGATCTTCGGGCGATATACAATTCCACTGGTCAAGGCACACAATTTATTAGGTCCAAAATCTCCGGGAAACAGGATCTCAGCCTCAGGGATACAACGTCGAGGAATCCTAATAAACTACCGAGGACCACATTACGGGTACGAGCCGCATCACTATGCCGACAACCAACGCAATGATCTGGGGTTCGAGCCCTAATGCACTGCCAAGAACACAGAACTGAGGTGGCAGTTACGCCTCAAAAGCATGACTATTGAAGGGTACGAGCCTCCAATAAGCCGCTGACAATTTACTCGAGCGCAGAGGTTATTAGCCGCTACGACACGAGGGTGCGAATGGAACGGCTGTTAACCGTCAACGCAGCCAAAATCCGGAACTATCCAAGAGCTATACCTATGCCGTTATTAGTCCGATAGTGGAACTCATTAAGAGTTATGCCCAGAACTGCGGTGGAGTTTATTCTTGGAAGCCCAAATTTGGCTCTGCCTATTTCGAGTCGAAACCGTGTCACCCCAACCCAGTAACACTGAGCACACAAAACTTTTCCGCGAGGGGTAACTCAGCCAAAATGAGCTTACCTCAACCTCCCGTTTACAATGTACAAAACACCGTAAACACTTTCTAAGTGCAAAAAATAGATAATATAATAGAATACAATAAAGTCATCATATTTTAAATCATTTGGCAAACTAATCACAGTTAAAAGTCGAATAATCCTTAACTAATTCCAAAGTGACCAAACTCTCCATCATTCATGACTATCTAGCGCGCACCGTCGCCAGGCCAGGAGCAGCTCAACCAATCACGTTGGAGCTACACATTCAGTCTCGTCCCAAGACGCTAACAACTAAATCCTAAAAATATCACAGCTAGACGAGATTCTATATTAAAGTCATGAAATAAATATTTGTTTACGCATTGCTTAGTCATACATAAATTAAACCCTTGAGTTAACAAAATAATATCACAGTTCAACAATATTGAATACCGCTGTCTCAACATCAAAAATACACTCGCATTATTTAGTTTTATTTTAGCGTAATATATAACATCAAACTCTAATCTTATAACGAAGTCGGATCTTACTAGTTCAGCCAATACTACATTCTCAAAAAAATATTTCACAGCATTCGGGTTCCGTCACACATGTAAAGATTGAAAAGGGTTGGTGAGAAGACTGAACCTCGGGGTTCTCCATTCGGTATGTTCTTTGCGTTTGATGACTTGCCATTGTAGTGTACGAACGACTGCCTGCCTGTTAAGTAGCTGGCAAGCCAGCGTCTATAGTGTTGTTATGTAGTGTTGTATTGTAGATATTATCTGTGGGTAAGAGGCGCTGAATGGGATCAAATGCTTTGCTCATGTTGGTTGTTATCAGGAGATGGCAGGGCGAGGGTCACTTAGAGTTGATTTCATCTTGTATACTTTGAGTGAGGTTGGTGAGGAGTGTAGTGGTTGGGTGATGGGCTCTGTAACCATGTTGTGCGGGTGAGAGGGAATGTGAGGCTTGGTTTAGAATTTAGATGGTTTGGGTTCAGATGGTGCAGAGGAGTGTATTGGGCCTATAGGAAGCTGCCTCGGTTGGGGTTAGTTCGGTTTCAGGAGGGTTATGATTTTGGAAGTTCCTAAATTGATAGTATATTGCAATGTGCGTATAAAAAGCGGTGATACCATGCGGGTCGAGGTACTTAAGATGAATGCTAGAGATATTGTCATGCCCAATTGCTGAAGAATTGTTGAGCTATTTAATGACGCACGAGGTGTCGGATGTTGTGGCTGGGATGTAATTGTTGTCTAGTGGAAATTTGTGCTTGCACCTGTGAATTTGTCTGTTTGCCCTATGCTTGCGTAGGTGAATGCTGCTGTCATAATGATTTATCAATATGTTGGACTGCTATTTGCGTGAAGGGATGGCATCCGAGGTGGTAATAGCTGAGTGAGATGAGGTGAGGCCACTGTTGGAGTTAGTGAGGCTGCAGATTATTCTGTAAAATTTTGAGGAGTCGGTGCAGTGTCACTACAAACTCTTCCCAGCGTTGCTTTTGTTTATTAATTATTAAGGTTTTTTGTTCACCTAATTCATGGCTGTGGTCTATATTTGCCTGCGAGTGTGGTGTTGGTGTGCGTCGTAGGTTGTTGCGAGTTCGAATGAGACTGAAATGTCAGGTGTTGCAGTGGGTGAGGGCGTGGTCAATGTTGGCGATGGGTAGTGTGTTCAACTCCCGGAAGTGGGTCTTTGTTTCCCTGGTGAAGTCTTCCCAGGAGCTTCACTTGTAATTGCGGATGATTTGCTAAGTGTGCAGGTTGGTGCCTTTGGTGGAAAGCAGTGTGATGATAATGGGTAAGTGGTCAGATGAGAAGTTCCGTTTCCGCTCTCCAAGAAGTCCTGTGTGAGAGTGATGGCAGGCAGAAGGTAATGTCTGGGGAGGTAGGTCTATATAAGGCTTGACGTGGTATGTGAGTGGGAATGAGTGTATTGTTTAGAATGAAGAGCAGATCTAGTTGGTCGCAAATCTACAGCCCTCGAGCAATGGTGCCTCATAGGTTGTACCAGTCTGGAAGCTTCGCCTTGAAGTCACCTCCAGGAATCAGGTCTGGTAGCGTATTTAATGCTTGCAGTGTGGGAGTGTAGAGGTCCGGTAAACCCGGTGAGTGTTCTGGAGGAATGTGTATGTTGGTGAGGGTAATCTATTTTTTGTAGCCTGTCTAGATGTGAAATGCTTGTAGTCCTGCGTGCCTGTCTGGTTGTGTTAGGGTTCTGATGGGCTGTGTTTTCTCCAAGTAGGCTATATTATGGCGGATATATGTAATTAATCCGCCACATTGCTCTTGTTGCCTATCCTATCTGATGGCAGTGTAGTTTGGGATGGATGGCGTCTTGTGCAAGTGCCTGAGCTTTGTCTCTTGTATGATGGCGACGTGTATTTTGTTGGAGTGCATGTATAGTTTGAGTTGGACGTGCTTGGTGCGTAGGCTATCAATGTCGAGTGGTAGGATGTTAAGATTGTGATGGT